AAAAAAAAACATGGGTGACTATTACCAGAACTGTTTTATAATTCCTGTTTTTATGATATCTAAATGAGATTCCACATCTTCCTACCCTCAAATCAAAATTACAGATGTTCATAGTCACCTATCTATAAAGTGCTTGTGTACTTCTTCTTTCCTTTAAGAATCCGATTTACTTTTCTGAGGTTATAAAAAATGAAATATCATAATTTTAGCTGCTTATGCTACAAATTTTGCCATTCTGGCATGGGTTAAACAACTCAAATCTCAAATATATTAATTTTAGATATCACATCTTAGATATACATGACCATGGTTATTTTTGTAGCGTGTAATAATTAGTGAACACTGAATGATACTGCCACTTCCTAAAAGGAAAATTGTGTTCTAAGTCTATAATCATTAAAACACTTCTGTCAGAAATAGCAAAGCACAATTTTTTAAATCGGTAAAATAACAGGTTGTAGGATAGGGAATGAAGTAGAAATTGTCAGAGATGGGATTGATTTATAGAGTAGGCCTTTATTTTCCTTTTGAGAATGGCTCTGGCTATGTTGCCCAGGCTGGTCTGGATATCTTAGGCTCTTGAGTGCTGGAACTACAGGTCTGCACCCCCACCCAACTAGAGTGAGCTATTTTTACTTTATAGTTATTTTAGTAATATAGTTACATTAGTTTTGATTGGGATAAAGAAATATTAAAGCAAACGGTATGTGAAAAGGGTATATTGTAAGAGTACCATAAATTCTTTCATAAAGAAATTAAGATATTGGGCTGGGGTTGTGGCTCAGTGATAGAGTGCTTGCCTAGCATGTGTGAGGCACTGTGTTCGATTCTCAGCATCACATATAAATAAATGAATAAAATAAAGATCCATGAATAACTAATAAAAATATTTTTAAAAGAAATTAAGATATTAAATGTTAATGTTTATAAGAAAACATTTAGTGTATGTTCTATATTTGTGATAAAAAATACTCAAAAAATTTCAAAAAATTGTAACCAAAGATTCTATCACATAAAGTACATTTTTTAAAACCTTTTTTTCTCAGTGTCATGAGCAGGTTTTTTTTTCTTTTTTTAGGTTGAATCTTCTTTATTCTAGCAGTTGGTTATTTTCATACTTGAATATATGAAGTAATTGTAGGAGGAGCAGCCATTTAGCTCATGAAGACATGAGTTTTGAATTATAATTACCTATCAAAATTTTGAACATACTTTATTTTTTGATCAATTTTTCACTCATAATTGTAATGATAGTTTAATCCAAATGAAAGACTTTAACACTTAGGGTAAAAACTGTTTTTTTAAAAATATGAGCTGGGTTTTTTTAATAAATAAAGCAAAACTATTATAATTTTAATAACTGGTATTTAGGGGAATATTTTTCATATATTAATATTAGCTAACTTCTGGAACTAGTTAGGGTTTGTTGTAACTTAGGATCTTTAAAATGGGGAGTACCCCTTAAATGATTAGGAGAATCATAAGATAGAAATAATGATATTTTTATTTCTGGTCCCTAGAGATACACATGCCTGGAGGCCATACTTATAGAGATCAGGTAACTTAGGCAGGGAGGGACCTATGGGCCAACACCATAATTGTATCCAAAACTTTTTCAAATAGATTGCCTGTGGGGAATTCTGTTTTATGGGTTTAATGCAAGGACAAGTTTAAAGAAGTCATTCTTACTGAAAGGTGGTCACTGGCATATTTGTACAGACCATGTGGGGCATGAAGGTCAGTGGGGCCAGTCAAGTTGGCCATATGTACTGTCCCTTAGGGAGGTGGACACCAGGAAAAAGTGATATAAGGCAAATATCTGGAACACCTATGTCCAGGAACCAAGATAAGGTGTTGAACTAGAAATGTGTCAAAGGTGACTAAGCCCTGTATGAGAAAGTTAAACATATTTAAAATGGATGCTGAGAGAACATAAATGATAAAAGAATTCACAGTAGAATTTTACTTTTTTCCCCTAGTGAAAGGAAGGGCCTATTCAGGGAACCAGAAAGTGCCTATTAAATTCTAAATTTTGAATTGTAAAAATGGAACTTTGGAATTTTGATACCAGAGATGGGAACTCCTGACCCAGTGACAATAGAAATGAAACTGGGTCAAAGATTATGAACACACAGTCAAGGCTTTAATTGGGAAGATAAAAGCAGTGGTAGTTTCTCCTTGAAGAGAAAGGGGAACACCAACTGATTAAGAGAAAATTCAGGCTGAATAAAGAAAGGAGCTAGCATTACATTGCGAAGCTGAGGTAGGACTGCTAGGGTGTAGTATTTTTCCTCTAGTCATAAGTATGGTCAATTTTTTTGGAGTTTCTTGTGGAAGATCCTTGGAGACATCTTGGTATTATCTTGTTTCTGTGGTAGAATTTGATTAAAAGGGTAATAGAAGGGCATAGTTCAAACATTGTTGAAGTTGGGGACAGTAGGGAAAGATTTTAGGAGGTAATAGGTTATGGATAAAGATCCAAGAGTGTATTCCCCTCTTGTTCTTACCTATCTCAATTTGAATTATCATATTTAAATAATGCAACTAGGTTAATTGAAGTCAGGTTTACAGTGAAGACTTTAAGTAAATACTTTTTCACAAAAGTTTTCTATTATGTGCTTTTTATTTCCTTTTCTTTTACCTCTGTACCTCTCCTCTATTCTGTGTTCTTTGGAATATTCAAATGTACCTATCACAAATGAAGAGCTTTCCTTTTCTATACTGAGGTACATCTATGTTTTGAGAACCTCTAATATGTTTGATATTATTATAATATAATCTTTATTGGTTGTTTTGGCAAGTACTTTATAGTCTAGTTTTGGAAAGGGAACAACAGAAAATTAGGGAGTAGTTGATAATTGTGTCCTGTTAAGTGGATGGGAATTAGAACAAGTCCATATCAGTATGGATTTTTTTCCATGCCTGTTATAGTAGAGGTTCATCTTAATTTGGACTTTACAGCATGTATTGGATGGCATTAGGAAAAGGGAAAATTGAGGAACAGCATGACCAAGCTTTGAAGTTAAAAATATTTGTATATATTTTACCAGAATGAAAATTGATCAGATTCAAGCATAGGTTGACTTACATATTGTTTTTAATAGAACTAATAGTGATGATAATGCTCAATAAGTCGTAACTGCTATTATAGTAGGATTGTACTGACCCTGTGAAGTAGATTTACTAGACTGACTTATTTTATGAATTAATTACAGAAACCTCTATAACTTATTTAATATCATGTAGCTTTTAGTTGAAGTTAAGCCCAAAATGTGTGTTCAAGTTTGGATAGATTTGGATCTGTAAGAGCACACTGACAACCATGCACAGAATAGTAGACTTAATACCTTGGACACCTTGGGACAAAAAGGGTCATGAAGGAGAGTTTAACATGCCATGGGTGGGATGTGTTATTTCAAACACATCATTCTACTGAGAAACGGCTAGAAAAATGAAATGAAATTCAGAGGGACTAGAAAGAAGGTTACTAGAGAAATGATAAGTTATGGGACCAAGATAGAATAGAGAAAGGGAGCCCTGAGAGTTAAGCCTGATATTTGGGGTTGCTTATCCCCTAATGATATCCATGGGTTCTGAAAGGAGGATCTGAGAGACTAAGCAGCACTTTTTATAGATTCATAAAGATAGGAGTGAAAAAAATGGAGTCAGGTGCTACCAAGAATGGGGATGAGTATTGGTAAAATCCCAGACTTAGGATTGGGACCGTGAAGAGTCAAATCCTAAAGATTAAAATAATATGAAACTCTGATTGAATTAATATTATTTGAGATTGCTAATGTTACTAGCCTTTCAGAAACAGAAGTAAACCACTTCTTGGTAAAAGACAACATTACATAGATTACATATGGAAATTTTTAGAGATAATGTCTACTTTTCAAAAATAGCCACACATATAAAACAAAACAAGACAGGAATGAAAACCAACATGAAAGAGTGATATTAAAGCTAAACTCATAGGAAATTCCAATATTAATCATCAGATTTTTTTCTGGTACTAGGAATTGTATCAGGAGCACTTTGCTGCTGAGCTACATCCCACTTTTTTTTTTAAGAGAGAGAGAGAATTTTAATATTTATTTTTCAGTTTTCGGCAGATACAACATCTTTGTTTGTATGTGGTGCTGAGGATCGAACCCAGGCTACACGCATGCCAGGCGAGCGCGCTACTGCTTGAGCCACATCCGCTTGAGCCACATCCGCAGCCCCCATCCCCACTTCTTTTTATATTTAATTTTGAGGCAGGGTGTTGCTAAGTTGCTGATGCTCTCCTCGAAATTGCAGTCCTCCTGCTTCAGCCTCCCAAGTCACTGGGATTACAGGCATGTGCCACTGCATCATCAGATTTAAAATAATAATAATAATAATTAACATGTGCAAGGAATTAATTGATAAGATTGATATTCTTGACAAAGAATTGGAAATTAATTAACAAATGGAAATTTTAGAGCTGTATTAAGAACTCACTTGATGCATTTTACATCAGAATAGACACAGCTGAAACAAACCAATGAACTGAAAGAGAGATAA